CCTCGCCTGGGGCGCCTCGCCCGGGGCGCCTCCCGGGGACCTCGGGGAGACAGAGGGCGTCCCCGCGCCTGGGGGGCACCGGGAGCCGCCCCATGGATCCCCGTCTGTCTGGGGGCCCTCCGGGATTCCTCGATCATGTCCAGAAGCCTCGTGTTTCGGGTCAGAGGACCCACGGCGCGTGTGATGTGTCTGGGGGGAAGGGGTTTCCCCGGGGTCCTCCAGCCGGGCCTGGGACCGCTCTGAGATCCCTCGTGTGCCTATGAACCCTCATCTCTTCGGGGGGTGGGGGGAGCCCCCAGGTCACGACACCAGGAGGGGGGCCCTGCCGGCAATCCCGAGCATGTCCCGGTGCCCCCCGGGATCCCCCTCTCGTGACAGTCAGAGCTGAGCTCTCCTGGTTGTGTCTGAGGCCCTCTGGGACTCCTTTACCTCGTCTCAGATCTCTGTCTACCTACGACTTTTGCCGCCTCTGTCATCGTTGAGATCCCTGAATTCGCTGGAATGATTCTGCCCTCACTTTTGTGTGTCTGGGATTCTCCAAGCACACCCGGGGCTCCCTTGAGAGTCTTTCGTCATGGCAGGATGGGGTGGGAGCTTCGGGGAAAGGGTCAGGTCTGGGCCCCCACTGGGATGGACATCCTCGTCATGTCTGGGACCCTCCAATCCCATCTGAGGGCCCCCCCGGGTTCCCATCTGATAGGCTTGGGGACCCCACACGCAGCCCTGAGTTCCCATGAGGACCCAGCCCTTCCTGGGGAGTCCTCCTTGCGGCCACGCTGAGGGTCGTTCTGGCCACGGACTGATTTCTGGATGATCTCGGCAGCTCCCCTCTCCATGTCATTTCTAACCAGAGGTGGTCAAGCTGGCTGACCACCCCCACCCCCCAAGCTCCTCCCCAGTGATGTTTTCTTTAGTTCATGCAGCATTTGAAGACGGGGTGGGGACGGGGATTTCAAATCAGCCAGACTTTCACCTTAGGGAGATGCTGCCTAATCCGGATTTCTGCCTTCACTTAAAACCTGGGACAAGCCGGGCACAGTGGCTCAGGCCTGTAATCCCAGCACTTTTGGAGGCAGAGGCGAGAGGATTGCCTGAGCCCAGCGTTCGAGACCAGCCTGGGCAACTTGGCGAGACCTCGTCTCTACAATAA